AACTGTCCTTTTCCGAAAACGTCGTGTGCCATCAGTGAGAAAACCTTATACTTAGACGCATTGGTGCCATGGGTGGCGTCAATCATCAAGACTTCGGGAAATCGGTCAAAGAGCTCACGCATATGTCTACTCTGCAATGTAATGCAAGTTGCGACCGTCTACGACATGTAAAACGTTAGATTGTAGCAAAACATGGCGTAGCAAACATGAATGAATTCATTCCTTTTCTCCCACTGAATCCACAAAGATCCTACCAACATTTCCAGACTCCTTTGCGAACTCTTTCATCCACTTCTTCAGCCGTGTGGCGCTGGTCGAGGCCGTGTTCTCTTTGGCTTTCAATCTCCGGATCAGATTAGACACGTCTTGCGTTGACGGGTTCAGGTCGGTGTTGTCGTGAATGTACTTCAGAATGCGCTTCTTCTTTGCTCCGGCCTTCCGAAGTTCATTCACTGTACCCACAACATCCGACTCCAACGCGGTTCGCACGTGTGGGTACTGGTTGTACGTAAGCTTGTTCACAGGGTGGTTATGCACTAATCGTGCGGAAGTGATCCTCAAGATGAATGTCGGGACCTTAGCGTCGTCGACTTGGACACACGCATTGATCTGCAATAAGAAATCACAGAACCACGTACACAGTTAGTCCCAACTCGACACAACTCGACCCAACTCATGATGCTACTGCCTAACCACAACCAACTCAGCCCAACTGACCCAGCTGAGGTGCAAACGTACCTGCGCCTCACACTCCATAGCCCGTGACTGCAGACGCTTCCACTTCCCCTTCCCCTTCCCCCTCGACTTGTACGTCCCTGAGTGTGTACAAATGGAGGTCTTCCCGTAGTTCACCCACTCGTTCGGCAACAACGGCTTATTTGACCCCGTTGGGCGAATCTTGGCATTGTGTGCAGTCACTGTGTTCTTCGTGAGGATACGAAAGCTCTACGGATTCAACAGAGTACAACAGTCAGCTAAAAAAATGCCTAATGAATAGAAAGTATAGCATTATTGTACCTGGTGTGTCCCCTTGGTGTACTCGGCCAAGTAGCTCTCTAGATCCTCCCATGAGTCGAACTCAAAACGCTCTAACGGGGCAACGAGCACCTCCAGTCCTTGAGCGTCTTCGTTGTCGTCCTGAAGGCGGCGTGGATGATCCATCCCCCCAGATCGGCCCTGCTTGGACTGACCGCTCGTGTTGCTGCCAGAATCCGTGGCGGAATCCACCCATTCCTCGTCGCTGAGCGCTCCCGGTGACGCAGCAGACGCCTCGTCGGCGTCGGCGTTAATCTCAACACACAAGTTGCGGCGCTGGGGGTGCCTCACTGCAGTCTTCACCCGACGATCTTCCGCCATTTTGCCCCCCTTTTTGAATGAAATGAGTGGCGGGGTGGTGGGTACACACCGGAGTATACGCTATACTATGGCCGGATAGATTGTGGGGGTAGGTGAAAAACCGAGCGTCTCTTTTATTCGCCCGAGTTGGGCGCACGACACACTTCCTTTCCAATAAGTTCACTGGGCAACGCAAATTTAAAATTCATGTGGGAGGAAGTTCCATCGTGCCAGAATTCGAGCGAACGGACAAGGACTTCTACATTGCAGTGACGAGTTTACTCAAATCGCATCCACGCCTGCAAATGAACTGCAATTTTCGCAGCAGAAGATTTCACTGTTTGAAGAGCGTAACGTAGAGAAAGACTGGAGTGCGACTTACCATGAGACCTTCACGAAGCTAGTGGAACGTGTCAAGAGAACACATTTATCACTTCGTTTACGAGTTAAGGTGCTTGGGCGCAATGTGGGAAGTTTCGAGAGAATTAGCGAGGTGGGGTGTATAGCGCTCACGCTGAGCCGGGGTGCTCGCTTGCCGTGGGTAAAAGCGATGTCGTGTTTGTAAATTTTTTTGAAAATGAATATTTTGAAGCTCGTGTAAACGCCGATACAGGTGGCATCGAAACGGTCGAGGAGTGGGGACGACTGCTCGAATGGTGAATTTATGCTGTAGCGGCCCCTATAGGAGTCACGGCGATGCCAACGATACGATTTTAAGAGTCCTGGTGAGAATGGCGTCCGTTTAATGTAATTCGTGGTTGTATGAAACTTTCAAGAAAAACAAAATCCTAGCCGTGAGTGTTGTGGTTACAACAGGTAGCAAAAAGTTGACTCTTACCTATCATCCTGTTGATGACGACGAAAATGGGTATGATGACCCACGAGGACAAAAAGACTACTGATTCCATTCTCCTGTGTTTCGGATTACTTTGCTTGGGTCAAATGACGACTTTGTAGTCAAGATTTTGCTTCATCACTGACGCTGACACGCTGTCGACGGCATATCTTCGCCTTCTTTTTATTTACGACAGAGTAGCGTTAATCACGACGGATGTGGTGGTGATGCCTTTGGTCGAGATAGCCGTCATGAGCAGATAGTTCTGGTACGGATCAGCCGGAGCCATGTACGTGTATCCACTTCCACAGGATCCGGCATAGTCGATAATAGACCACGCCAGACTTGAACTGCTCCAGCACGCTTTATACGTCTTCGTGGCTGAGGTGCTTGCAACCCAGCGTCCATTAGTGTTCATAAGTACATATGCGTCTGACGTGGTGACGCTGGGTTCGTTCTCCGCCCAGGACCACGCCTGAGCTCTCATCTTTGCCCCATCGACCATGTCTGTAGCCACCAGGTTCATGTTCCATCGCACGAAGTTGCCAATGTTGCTAGAGTTCAAGAACGTCTCAAACTCCTCGGTAAGTACTACTTCGTCGGAGAGGGAGATGTAGCGCAGTTCAGCTTGATACGATCGCAAAAAGTAATCACTGCCATAGATCTCCAGTCCACCGATCTTACGAGAACTGTCCGGTAACGTGTCAATGTACTCGGTTGTGAGGACTTCATGGCCGCCACAGAAATCATACAGACTGTAAGCGAGTCCAGTGTCTTCGTTCGCGAGAAGCAGCACCCGATACCCAGCGTCGATAAACTCGTTGATGCTGCCTCCAGGAATCCGACGCCAAAGTCTTGAGAGCTGACTGGGGAACAATGAGACCACCAAAGACGTCGGTGAGTAGCGTGTTCAAGTCTTCATACTTGTTTAACCGAGAAATATCGGAGCCTGTATCCATGTAGATCACCACGAACTCTGTTGGGTTGGCTTCGAGCCAATCCCTCACCTCCTGCATCGAACTACGTGTAGTAACTTCATCGGTAGTCTTAATACCCGAGATCGAGGGAAAGCAGCCTAGAAGCTCCGGACCCCACAGAATCGTGCCGTACTTGGACAATTGACTACCGAATGCGTCAAAGAATGTTTCAATCGAGTTTGAGCCGAGGTTACCGCAGTGACCTGTGTGGAAATCGTCTAGGAAATAGTGTGTATCAATTTCGATCCACCGTATACCGATACCCAATTGGTCCGTCAGACTGAGAACTTGGTTGTTCGTTTTGAGGTACGAGTACGACTTGTCTGAGTTCAAGTTCGCGTTGAAGAGCTGGTCACGGTTGCCGTATCCGTCGGCCAAAGTGATGGCACTATTGTGCGTTGACGGGATCTGTGTATAACACAGTTTTCCACTGAAAGCCAGATTGCGTTGATACGAGAGCGTTAGGTTGAGCCATGACGAAATGGATGCCGTTCCTTTCTCGCAGACGCTGCTACACACTGTTCCAGCGGAATTGCACTTGTCCACCATAGTACAGCTAATATCTTCGATGTCGTTCTTACCGGGATCGTTGGTTCCAGGCATTCGAGATGCTGTCTGCTGTGCGATGAGGTATGACGGGTCTGAGCACGTGTCTGTCCAGGTACAGGACGCAGTTCCTGGCACAGAGTCCACGAACTTACCACCACTAGCTGAAAACTCGATCATGCCGTTTAGGATATTCACTGTAGTGTCGTCGAAAAAGTACTCGAAGCCGTCTTGGATGGACTGGATAAGTGGACGCATATGGTCGATGCAGCACGAGTAGTGGATGGTTGACGCTGACGTTAGCGAAGCTATGTCGGTGTACGATTCACCCTTCATAGCGGTACACTCTTCACCCGATGGAATCGTCACGAACGGCATAATCACAGATTCCAGCAATGTGAAGCTCGAAGAAGTGTACGTTGAGGTCAATTGAGAGAACATGTTGTAGCCACAAGTGGAGTCACCGATATTGGAACAGAAGAATTGATTCACTCCGTTAACAAGCTCGTTAAGAATGAAAGAGTTGGTGGTCACATTAGGTGGCACAAAAAAGTCCACCAGATCGATCAAATCGCTGACTTCCGAACAGCACGTCGTGTCGGACTCAAATATTGGAAGCAATGTCGGCAACAAGCTCAGTAGACACGGTGAAATGACCGTGTTGAGTGTTGTACAGAAGTTGTTCATGTCGGACGAGGACGTGTCGGCCATGTACGCGTATACGAGACTCGACATGCTGCTCGGAGATGCCACGATATCTTCGATTAGTGAAACGAGATTCAGAATCTGCGTGTCCGACTCCAACGCAAGAAGATCCGTGAGCGAGCAGGTGCTGGACGAAGCTGCGAGTGCCAGAAGTACTGAGTACAGGTTGTTGCTCACGCATACATCAAGGTTGTAGGTTGACGGGAGGATCGAAAGCGCCGATGCAGTGCATGTCGCCGCCTCGGAGCTCGAGGACGCAAAGCCCATGACCCCCATGGTGAGCGACGCAGCAAGTTGTCGAAGCTTCATTGCACGATGCTAGAGTTGTCGAGTGAAGGAGTCCACCGGACCTGGCGAATTGACAAGTGAACGGCTCGAGTTGCTCCAGTCTTCATGGTGTTATGACCAGGATGGCTTGGAGCATTACGAGACGCAGACGCACGGTGAAGAGATCGACAAGGATCATCGATGACGCCGAGTAAAGTTGAGGTCCCACCTCGAATGCCACGATGAACCTGATCTCGCTGATCTGGTGGTAAGTAATGTATCTGGCGAAGATATGGACTGCACGGTGCTTGGTTGCGGTAAAAGATCCTCATTTCGATGTCAATTCGCAAATGAAAGGTATATTTTACGATGTTGCATGGTGTTCGCTGCGATCCTTTGTCTCCTGTAACTCTTACGTCTTTGTGAGTATTTTTTTTTCATTGCTCGTCATATTCGCGCTCACTTGCGCGGCGTGGAGATGACGCTGTAGGCGCTCTCACATGCAGCAAGAGCAGCCTCTTCATTCTTGTATCTTCCGAGGTACAGAGGTTTCTGGCCGTTTAGATGAAGCTTGGCGGCGTACTTCGACTTCCTCTGCTTGGTCACTACGAATCGTTGATTATCTTCTGCACTGGAGCCTTCGCACTGAGACCGACCGTGCGAATATTCATTGTCTCGTCCTGAGCTGTTGGACTGCAGGGACGAAGTTCCCTCACTGAACGACTCGGCCGATGACGGTGCCCGTGAGGAACGGCCTTCAGAGTACGACGAGGTCGAGCTCGGGATGGTACTGCCGCGTCCGGAGCTGTACGTGTCACCTTCAACACGCACCGCTCGATTATCATCATCGACCGGCGAAATCGTGTGAAGCTGCCGCGATCGGCTAGCGCGATTCTTTCTCCACTGTTGCTTCTGGCCGAGAACCGTGTACTTCTGGCCTATCGGAGCTCCAGCAAAAGACTCCTGATCCTGGTTCGAGCTTCTATCTCCGAAGAACTGTCCCACACCAAGTCGACTGAGCATTCCAGCGTCAGTAGTGAGGGTAGCACTCTTGCGTTGCAGTGGGTACTCTGCATCTTCGGGGACATCGTGGATCTTCAACGCCACCGCGGCTCCGTGCATGTTGGCCGCAGTGTCCATCGCATTGTTCGAGCTGCGACGCAATGAGGTGTTGGATCGGACGCCGAACCCGTTACCTTCCTCGCCCCTGGACAGATCTCCATCTTCACAAGTATCCATATCGTCGACAACAGGAGAAATCACCGCTTGGCTCTTCGATTTGTGATAGTTGTTGCCACCGTAGAGTCCCCGCAGAGCGGTCCTGTGCATGTTATGGGGCCACAGCGCTGGTGTTACACTACTGAACGTGCTTCCAAGTCTTGTCGAAGGTTTCTCCAAATACTACTTCAACTACTAAGTATTGTTAGGCATGCGATGAAACAGACCCAACGTTTTCTTAATGTAATTGATTGATATAAATTCAGGATTCGGCGTTGCAGGACAACGGCTAAGTTGGCGTTAAATCGGCAGAGACCTGGTGGACGACTCTGTCGAGTCTGTGGAAATGCTGGAATTCCATCGCGAGGACCAGCGCGAAATGCGAGATTGCTTGCGCGACGCTGTCTTGCAGCCCACACAGATCCCCACGGTGGTATTCCTTGCACCGCGCACTTCTACTTCTTCAACATGGTGGCACGCGTGACAGATCGCGTCGCCACAGACCACGCAGTTGTATCGGCGAGTGTCGAGCAATTTGACGGCACCGAAGTGTTTGCTGCAACACTGGCAGAATTCTGCCTTATGCTTGTCAGTCCATTCGGCTTGAGGTGCAAACGTCGACGGATCGAGTTGCTTACGTCGCAAGTGACCGACAACTCGGCTGAGTACGGCGCCGAATCGAGGCATGACGTACCGCGCTGCTAGCCGGGGTGCGAACCCGCCGGCTTCAATGCCGACAATGTACGCAACTTTCGTTTCCGAATTGGGCTCCCCGCTGTTCTGAACGAAATATCCCGAACGGAACATACGACTACGGATGAAGCCCTGAGGCACGTCGAACTCGGAGACCTCAGGCAAATTGAGCGAGTCCCACACGCAGTAGCCTACAGTTGATCCGTCCGGACGATGGATAACATCCGTGGCTACTACGACGCACATATCGCGGTGGTTGCGTAGCAACGCCGGAGTCTTGAACGCCGTGTATCGGACGTACGATGAGCGCATTGGATGTTCTTCCGATGGGTGTTCCAACACGCTCAAGATCCTGGCGTCCATGAGGTTGTCATACATGATACGACAACGTTGTAGCAACATGTCGGTGTCGGACACCAGGAACAGGTTGATGACGTCCTCAACAGAAGCGTCCGTGGCGCTCACGCAGCAGAAACGCGACTGTCCTTTGGTCACGCTCTCTCTGTCTTCGTAGTATTCGACGTCGTCCTTGCGCATCTTACTGCGCCAATGAGCGTCCTTGGTTCCTTCGTGCATCATGCTATCCAGTACGTCTTCGACGGCGGTGGAGATCTGCTTGACAAGCAAGTCTTTCACGTCGTCCGACAGTTCTAAGTACTCCGGTTTTCCGTCTGATAGCGGGACACCGTCTGCATTGTAGCTCGACATGGAGGACGACGTCTGCTTTGTCAGCTTCCGGGGCATCGGAGCCGAAGCTGAGCGTTTGGCGATTCTCTGTCTCGAGTTCGCCATGATACGGTAGAAATCCCCGCTTAGTCGAAACCTGCGATGTGTCAATCGATCGGCCAATGTGTCAATGAGCCGAGTGGCGTGTCCGGTTTGCAATGGCGGAACTTCCACAACGAGGGCGACCAAGAGGTGAGAGATCCGGTCTTATTATATGGCAGTCGTACTGTTGGTGAGACCGCGTCAATCGAAAGTCGCAAACTGCGTTGTGGCAAACAGTTCGTGTTGAGCCGAAAGCCACGAGAACTGCAGGTTGCACATGCTACAGCTGTTCGCATCTCCCAAGCCAAGAATCTCGATGCTGAGGGTTTTTGATGCTCGAGATGTTCTTGCAGCTCCGTAAAAGCTGAAGCAACAGCAGGCGCGTCGCAGGAAGGGAAGAACAGCATTGCTGAGGGAAGGTGGGTGCGTTCAAGCATCGGGAAATGGCTTACAGCTACGCGAATCGAGAAGTTTGACAACTTACGGGTATTAGAATTTGGAATGTACCCTGCCAACATTGCACTGCGCATTCGGTTTCTTCATGTTGGTGTTCGGTGGAGATGGCATTGCCATGACAAAGCCGACAAAAGTGAACATACACGGCACAGCCGTCTTGGACTGTTCATGATCGACATCCGGATCTGCTGCTGGCGAAAACCGTACGCCTGTTTCCGAAGAAATCCATTTCGATTTGCTGCTTCTTCAACTTCATCCGCGAAAAAATACTTGTGCATGTTTCGAGAACCACGAAGTTTGCGTAAGGGTGATACTTTCTGGAATCCGTTTGCCATGACCGCACTGCCTGGCTTTCGATGGCGCATTGCAGGGTGCCACTCCGAGGGTGGACAACACGATCAAAGTATCTCGCTCTTTCTCTCGACGCCAAAAGAGGCCGCTTTCGCTGCGCGAAACACTCATATCGGTGTTCTTCACCGAGCGTCATGGAGGCCGAGTTGACTAGGGAAATCCTGGTTTCCCTGTTTCCCGCCTTGCAGTGATCGGGTAAATGAATCCTTGGATAGTATTAGTCGCCGGCGTCACCATGACGGTCAATCGCCATGACACGTCAAAAGCGAAAGGAGACGATCGACACCACCTTCTCGATTGTTCGACAACCTTGCGCAAAAGTGTGCAAGGGTTGTACGGCGTGGGTTAACTTTGCTTGGATGCGGTTGGTGTCCCGTCCGATGTGTTGGGCCAATAGTGTTGGCATCACCAACTTAGTGATGGTTGCCGACGACAACTTGTCGTGTCTGATAAAAACACGAATCGAAGCCAGGTGCCTTTCACGAACGCTCATTTCGTTCACGCGTGCGGTTGCCTCATACAGACGCAAAATAAGCATAGGAGTCTGGCTCCAGCTGCGGACACTTGAGATGCAGATGGTTGTGGACGAAAAGCTTAGGTGGCAGTATTATTCATGTAACACGTACAAGTGAGCTACCAAATACCTACACTTCAGGTTTGCTTAGATTTTGGTTGTAGCAGGCTAATCGATCTGACCCGGTATCTAAACTATCTCTGCTTCCAGTGCCGTCGGAGTAGGAAAGAATTGAGTTGATTTAGCAACGTATGCATACAGGGAAAGCAGCAACAACGGGTGAGGACTCACTCGCCAGGACATGGTCACTTGTCCATGATACCATACCAGCACCGAATAGAATTTGGCCCTCTGGCTACGTATCCACTTTGTTAGCAACCGTACCTCATTTAGTCGATAGCTGTGCTTACAGAAAAGCATACTACATGCATGCAGCAGTGCTTAGTAAGCCTTGCACACTAGCACTATCTCCAAAATGCTTTTCTTCTCCATCTGTGCTCATTTCTTCGTAGTCACTAGCAATTTTTGCGTTGTTCATGCAGAGTGAAGCGCATCGTGGATCGGAATTTGTTGCGTCATGTATTTTACGACGAATTTCTGGACTACTTTCATACTTACTCCGGCAACGACATCATCACATGTATAGAGACCTGGTGGACGACTCTGTCGAGTCGGATGAAAAACTTGTTCCCCAACTTGACCACCGTGACATTCGGGATGGCTTTCCGACGTTGTCCGTCTTGCAGCCGACACAGATTCCCACTGTCGTATTCCGAGCTCCAGGGACTTCGATCTCCTCCACGTGGTGACAAGCATGACAAATGGCGTCACCGCAAGACACACAGTTGTATCGTCGAGTATCGAGCAGCTTTACTGCACCGAAGTGCTTGCTGCAACACTGGCAGAATTCAGCTTTCTGCTTATCGGTCCATTGAGACGGAGGCACGAAGGTAGAAGGGTCGAGTTGCCTGCGACGGAGGTGGGCAATAATACGGCTGAGAACTTCACCAAATCGAGGCATATAGTAGCGCGTTGTGAGCCGTGGGGCGAGGCCTCCCGCCTCAATTCCAACTATGTAGGCAACCTTAGTCAAAGCTCCGGGCTCTCCAGAGTTCTGCACGAAATATCCCGAACGGAACATACGGGTCCGGATAAATCCCTGCGGTACGTCCAACTGGGAGATATCGGGCAGGTTGAGCGAGTCCCACACGCAGTAGCCCACCGTCGATCCGTCTGCGCACTGTTTAACGTCGGTAGATACGACGACGCACATATCGCGGTTGTTACGCTGCAGTGTCCTGGCCTTAAAGGCGGTATAGCGAATGTAAGATGAACGCATTGGCTGCTCTTCCGACGGGTGCTCCAAAACGTTCAAGATCCTGGCGTCCATGATGTTGTCGTACATGATGCGGCACCGTTGTAGCAGCATGTCGGTGTCGGACACAACGAACAGGTTAATCACCTCTTCAACCGAGGCTTCGGTCGTGTCAACGCAGCAGAAACGAGTCTGCTCCTTCGTCACGCTCTCTCTATCTTCGTAGTAAATAATTCCATCCTTACGCATCTTGCCGCGCCAGTGAACGTCCTCGGTGCCTTCGTGCATCATACTATCCAGGACATCCTCCACCGCTGCTGAGATCTGCCTCGTCAACACAGTCTTCACCTGATCCGGTAGCGTGATGTACTCTGGTAGGCCAGCGGAGAGCGGGGCACCGTCGGTATTGTAGCTCGACATCGAAGACGACGCCGTCAAACGTCGGGACAATGCCTTTGAAGCGGAGCGCTTAGAGACGTTCGAGCTTGGCATCTTGTGTTAGTAACTCGCGTCTGTGAGTTGTGCAGTGTGTCAATCGATTGTCCAATCTGTCAATGAACGACTTCGGTCGGCTACGATGCACTGCAGCTGCGGAGAAGTTCTGGTCTATTCTGTGGAGACCAACAAGTGAGATATCCGGTGCCTACAACGACATCGTACAGTGTCAATCGAAAAATGCTTCGGCGAGCCGGGCCAAGCGACGGGCCGGATAGACGAAGAAAACATTGAGATGCACATGGTTCGCATCTATCGTCAGCATCCCAGCCAAAGCAGATAATCTCTGCTTCATATGAGTGAAGGACTGCTAGACAACCGTATCTTCATTTTTTTTTTTAACATGTACGAGAAGTTGAAACTGCGCTGAAGTACATTGATATGTGGATACATGTAGGCGACTAGCTGACTACCATCCGAGCACGAGAAACTACGACGCCAATGCAACGCGAAACTAACATTGCACACGTGCAAAATGGCTGGGGGGTCGCACATGTATCGGACACGCGATAAAAGTCAACGTAAGTCGCATGCACTTTTGATTCGCGACGAATGGATCGTTCGTTTGACTGTCCACGGCTCCGATCCGGATCTGTTGCTTGGAAAACAAACACGATTTGCTCAACAAAATTTGCGAAAAATGCTTCACCAGACCATGCCGTAATGCTGGAAGCCCAGTTCGTCGACATCGGACTGATGACGGCAACGTACCGGTACATACATCGCTCATGTCTGTTAAAATCTCGCTGCACGAACTTATTCGTCGCGCTCACGGAGAAACATATTAGAGGCGTGTAACATCCCGAGTTCATGAACACATTGGCATCGTTGATCGTGCTGAGGAATGCGAAGCAGATCAACGACACTGCGTAAATTCGCAGCCACTTGTGCGGTACAACCCATGCTCGTGGTTTGTATGGAGCAGATTGAACGACACTTTCGTTTTGAAGTACATGTATTGACAGATCAACCTCAAATTGCCGTACATTCCTTCCGCGGCGAAAGTCCTGCTCACTCGTATGTACACAAATTTGTGAAAGTTGCCGATTGCTGCAGTCACCTTGAAAAGACGCCGAGTTTTAGTTAGCTTTACAAAATCTGTAAAACGGGCGCGTCTGGTCATTTTAGAAGGCATTGATAATGGGGGACGCCTCAATAGGTAGTCGACCCAGTTCCAGCGCTGTTAAGAACAAGGATGCTGACAAGAAACGAGCAGCTCTGTGGAAGAAGCAAGTCAAGTGTTTTAAGCTCAAAGATGTCGGCAAGAAGGTGGACGCAGTGCGTTTCTGCGCTCAAGATGAACGATTCTTTCGTGAGCAGACGGACGTGCTACCGTTGCTTATGGGGTTCCTCTCCAGGACTAAAGTATGGTTTCTTATTATTAATTTCAGTATTGGGTATCGTCACTAACATCCTAAACACCTTAGACCCCGGAACTTGTCATAGAAACGCTGACTGTGATGCACACACTGCTGTCATCTCCAACTACTGAGACCGCTGATCCTGATTCTGAGGTTATTCATCCTGACATCAACGGTACGTTGTCATCACGCTGATAACTCAATTTCACAAAGATCTAAGATACCGTGAATGCATGATAGCGGAATTTATGCTTGAGCGTAGTATTAGCGCCGAGTCGGTGTGGAAAGCTGGCGAGCCGTTTATCAATCTCTTCAATATGAACGCCTTGGCCTCGGAAATTCGTGTAGGTTAAATTTATTGCAGGTGTCGACATTTTAAAGGGAGTTAAATATGCTGTTCGTGGATGATAGATCAAAGCAATCGAAGTGTACGACCTCCTTCTACGAGCCAGCGTCGCGTTGTCTGCATTGGCAGGCGAAGCCACTCCAACGCTACTCGAGTTCCAATCTGTTGGGTCTCCTTGCTCGGCGTTACTCGGTTGCTTGGGGATAGATAACGGCGATTTACAGTTCACGGCGTTGTCATGTCTGCGCTCGCTGTTAAGGAACCCTCCAAACGAGGAGTTTCTGGTGAAATTTGAGGCTGACAAGGGTATTTCCCACTGCTTGGAGTTTGTCGTGCACACAGAGCGACGCTATCATGGTCCTGCACTCGACATCCTCGAAAGTTTCTCCAAAATCGGTAAGTTAAAAACTGGTTTCATTTAAAAAAAAACTTGAGCTGATGTTAGTATCGTGATATAATGTAGATTGTGCACGAGACCTCTTGAAAAAGAATAATACGGCTTGTGTTCTGCGCAACGCCATCCAAGAAGCTCAAGAAGTGGTCCACAAGACGTCGACTATTGTGCTTGTTAGTGGGATGGATGCTAGTCCATTGTCAGCTAAAGACGCCCCACTATTGTGTTCCAGTATTGGGGTTATGTGTCAAGTTTTCGTACGAGTGACACTCGCGAACGATCAACTTACCAGTAACCCACTCGAGGAAGACTACATTTTATTCACGGACGTAATCGATGCGATGGTCAGTATTCTCCGATATGACATCACAACTGCTTTGGCGCCCCCAGCTGTCCCTACCGAGACCCCGCGAACGACGGGTGCTGCGGCTGCGGCCGCTAATGCAGCACTGGCTAATTCTGCTGCTTTGGCAGCGCTCCTACCGTTTAGTATCGACCGCTGCGTTGCAGTGATCTCGAGTCTCGGTCGAATAATCGAGTACAGCGAGCGATGCAAAGCACATGCAAAAACACAAGGTCTTCTGCCGGTGCTGCTCGATTGCTTCAAAGTTAAAGAGGCTCATGATCTTCATCAAGTGGCTGATAAGCTCCTGCACCTGTGTATCCACACTACTGATATGCATGTTTCGATGAATGGTAATTTACAACACGAGAACAGTATAAACGGCGAGTCTCACCAATCCAACCAATCGATAGCACCTGCACGAATCGATCCTCAAGTTCTCTGCGCAGTTTCGACTGATGATGTGGAATTAAGTGGAGCTGATATTGTTGATCCAGCGGGTGTTGTCAATGGAGGGAAATTACCTCTTGTAGCGGTGGACATAGTGTTATCTCTACTGGAAACAAGCTATGAATCAGCAAACTCAACGTTAATATTTCGTCAAGTTCGATGGATTGCAGGTCTAGTAGGTTTGCCGGGAAATGCCAACGCATTGGGAGAACGAGCTGTATCGCTCTTTCTTCAGATTTTGATCACAACATCTCCCAACGATAAATTGCTCTTTGCATTCCTGGCTAAATGCATTCACGCAATTGTTCTCCAGAATTCGGCAGCTTTAGAGGTACGTTTGTTTGTATTATCACGTTATTTGCTGTCGTGTTTTGCTTATAAACCTTTTCTTTTACGCGGAACGTAGCTTTGTGGTAGTGGGGGTAATGATCCTTCAACTTCTTTTCTCGCGTTTCTACAGCAATCCTCGGAGACTAAAGGGGCTGATGACACCAGAGCAGACAGCGATACATTTTTCACTGAAGGGAAACATGATCAAATCGACGAGACCAAGAGAGTAACCGAGATTGAAAACCTCTGCAAGTTAGAATGGTCCGACGAGTATGACGAGGTGGCCTTTACGCCAAATCCCTTGACAGAGGCTCTGCACAGTATTGACGTATACCTTGTCGTCGCTGAAGCTCTCGCTGCATTGGCCAGTGCTTATCGTAAGTGGAATTCAAGCGGGTCGACGGCAACAGATTTTAGTGAACTCATGGCTGCCAAATCAGGGTCGGACTCTGTTTCTGGAAAACCTGGGATCCCCGCAACAGGAGGGAGTAAGAAAAAATTGCCAGCGGATCAAACAAAACCGGCAGCAGTGGGTGAAGCAGTGATGCTCAGTCTATTAGAAAAAGGTTTGCAAGTACCGAAGCTTATCTCACAGTACACTGCAGTCAATCCAGCCGTGTGCGTATCGTTACTAGGACTACTGGATAGTTTACTGATGGTTCCAAGCGGAATGAAGATGTTGCTACAACTGGCAAAAAGTGAATTACAGTCACCAACGGAAGATCAAAAGGAGACTTCTCCAGACGCTATTACGGGGAGTGAATGGCCTTCATTAGTGGAATTATCGTCTCAAATGGAACATACACTGCTGCTTCTCCCCGTGTTGAATGTTCTTCAGTCACCCGATACCTCATTTATCGAGATTGAAGCAGCTGTACGATCGATCGCTGTGATGACGAATGACTTGGAGCCTTCAGACAAGGAAGTTCCAGCCGTAATTCCTGAACCTGTTGAAGCACCGAAAAGCCCAATTAAAAGTGGAGTCACTGCTGCTCCTACACCTTCCGCACCGTCAATTCCTGAACTGGTGATACTGGAAAGAGACCGCTTTATCAACGCTGCCGTTGGCTGTGGGGCGCTCGTAGTATTGCTGGCTTTTATGGACATTGCTCGCATCTCAAGGGAAGCAGGTGATTTCTTAAACCGAGCGAATAATGTGAAGACACAAATTAGCGAGATGGTGCGAAACTTTATCACACTGGCCCAAGTGAAGCAGGATCATGTTGTGACGAAATATCGAGAGAAATTGGAGCTCGAACAGAAGCCAATTGGTGATACAACGCCGATAGAACATGCTGCAGACTTGGACTTACCTTACAAGGAGCGATGGGCTAAACTACTTGACCACAAGTTCAGCGTACCACGTTTTGGGTATGTGCATTACTCGGTGTTACTATTGGCATCGGAACTTGCTCTATCAAACATAGTCTCGACTCTATTAAGTGCTGGAGCCTCGCCCGAAACCGCGTCACCCGAGGGACTGACACCTTTGATGATTGCGTTCCTAGTTGGGAATGAAGAGATGGTTATTGATCTACTTGATGCTCGAGCCAATGTTGACGCTATCACTACCGATGGACAAGACCTCACAGTCTGGAATTGTGCACTTGTGTCTCCAGTAAAGGCTCGTGTTAGTGATTTGATCACTAAGGCGTACACTAAGTCAGACGAGGTGACAACCATGAACGCACGTCTTCAACTGGATTCGATTCAAGGATCTCTACAGTTCCTGGACATGTGCTTGGATGCTGGTGTGGATGCGAACGTATCGAACGCTCAAGGAGACTTTCTTCTGCATGCTTTGCTGTCGAAATCTATTGTACGTCGTAAACTACGTGGACTAGAATTGTGTTTCCGTTACAATTCCTGTTATGAAGACCAGAGGCGTTTGCAGAGAGCTGTGGTAGATTTAATCCACGGGCATTCAGCAAATGTGAATAGCTGTAATCGGATGGGTCAGACTCCGCTTCATTTGACGTTACTATATGGCTACACCGGCATTGCGAAGATTCTGCTAAGTCGTGGAGCAAATCCGAACGTACAGGGCATTTACGGACATTTACCTCTGCACTATGCGTGTCTTGGGTTCTGTGGTAATCTAGATGGAAGTGACGGCGAAGCTGTCGAAATAGTTCGACTGCTACTTGAGCAAGCAGAGAAGTATACTTGCGTCCTTGGAGCTCATACAGATCGCCGTAAACACAAATCGGCAGCAGAGAAACAAGCTCTAGCGATCGAAAAAATTCTGGAAAAAGGTCTACAAAGTGTCATCCAACCTCAGTCGATCGTACTTAAGCTTGCAAATCCCAAACAAATTCTATCGACAATCTCGTTTCGTGGCAATTTCTTGCCGTGGCATTTTGCCTGTGGAGCGTACGTGCAGCTATCCTCGGTCTTGTGTCTTGATGATGATATGCAAAAGTGGTTTGAAGCCAATGGCCAAG